TGTTAGTGTCCAATACTGGTAGTCGTACGCGGCTCTCACTGTGTGTCTCTGGGTCTAGAGTGTTGTGTCGCATACTTAATATAGACCTGGACGAGTCTATTGTGTAGGTAGTTTCGGTCTCACAATAGTTACATAACAGAGAACTCCAAAATTAATTAATTATCATTAATTTTGGATTATATATATATATATATATATATGTGTGTGTGTGTGTGTGTGTGTGTGTGTTTGCATTGATATAATAGGAAAGAACTGTTAGATTGATGATCCTGAGTTCTTTAGCATTTTGTTCTTATTTTTAAAAAAGGTCCCTAAATATCGCTTGAGGATGAAACAGTCATCCAACAATTAAGGCTTAATAATGAAATTAAACTTCAATACGGATGACCAGTTTCGAAACATAGTAATTTCTGTGTCGCGATAGAATCATATTTTTTTAAAATAATTATGATATATATATATATATATATATATATATATATATATACTGCTGTTCGATAAAAGTGACTCACCTGATAATTTTTAATCTTACTAATATAAAAACTCCTTCCTGACCACCTAGGAAAAAGTTTATTCATCCTAAGGTATTCTATTGATAATTATAAATTTGGATATAAATGAGATTCAGGAAAAAATTCTGTGTAAAAAAAGTGACTCAGATATCGCATTCTAATGATTAAACTGATAAATTTAAGAACCTATTGACAAAATATTGAAAACTATTTTACAATACACTCAGAACAATATTCTAGAGTATTCTAGAACAGCTTAAATGAAATCTAGAGTATTCCAGATATTCCAGAAAGCTTCATACAGTATAAAAACAGCTTGAAAACTCAAGTCACTAACCAGATGAAAGGGTACAAACACGCATCAGAACCATTTAAGGCATCTATTATTGCCCTCTCAAAAGCAGGCAAGTCTACGAGAGAAATTGCTATAACCTCACAAGTCTCTCGAGTGCTTAGGGCACATAATGATGCCACTCCTGCTCCAAGGAAGGAACCAAGGGGACGAAAGAAAAAGATTGATGATAGAACTGGCAGGGTAATCAAGTGAGAAGTTGCGAAGAATAGGACTATAACTAGCCAAGAAATTGCAGCCAGTCTAAGCGAAGGGCAAGGTGTTAATCTTGCCTCTTCAACAGTTCGTCAGAACAAGGTTATAAATCTTGTCAGAACAAGGCTACAAATCTTGTACACGAAGGTTTAAGCGGCTAATAAGCAAAACCAACAAAGCCAAGAGACTTGAATTGGGGTCACTATTACAAAAATTTCCCCGTAGAAGACTGGAATAATGTTCTCTTATCCGATGAAACGAAAGTTGAGCTAAATTCAAAGGATAAGGTGAGTCACATTTATCGAACAGCACTATATATTATGAAATGGAAAAATTCCGGCAATAATTTTAAGACATTTTTATGTTTATACATTATTTTTTTAGATACAAATATTTAATAAAATAAATATTTAAGTAAATGCTCTGTTTATAATTCAGGCTGGTAAATGTTGTTTAATACTAATTATTATAAACAAAGCATTTACTTAAATATTTGTATCTATAAAAAGAATGTATAAACATAAAAATGTCTTAAAATATATATATGTATGTATATGGGCGCAATATTCAGTCTCTCTCTCTCTCTCTCTCGTCTGTCTTAAAGGTAAAACGTACCTTGTTTCTCTTCTGAGGGACTTAAACTTACTTGGCTACACATTGGCATATTGGTATAGCTTTCAATTTGAGAAAACTAACAAAGACCACTTCTCAAAATGTCTCTTATGATCTTTCGCATAAACTTTGCACGCACGTATGTATGAACGAAAAAGTACATCTCTCCACAAACCCACAACTTCATTCACCACGTTTATATTCTTTCTGTTTACTCTGATGTTGTTAATTGTACGCAAGTGTTTTTGTATTCCTTCTATTGTTTGAAGAAAAGTCAATGCGTCCACTATCGACTCATATCATTATACTTCCATTTACGTCTGAACTTCCGGAAACAAGAGTCGCCATTATTTACATAAGGACTATTGTTTTAATCTTTTTTTTTATTACAGTCGGTCTTAGTCGAACCTTTCAATGAATTTCAAACATAACACTTTATTCAATGTTCAGGGGTAGATTGTTCAACTATCCAGGTGTAAGAATATTTCGCCTTGTTCTTATATACTACTTCTCAGTTATTAATCGCACCTTTTTTTTACTGAGTCTAAGTCTTCAACTACCCAGTTCAGGGATTGAACTCACAATCACTATGTCAACAAATTCAGGAACCAACACTTTAATCCTCAAGGCTAGACATGGACTTCGGAATGAGATCCACCTATTCACGTAGATTAAATAAAGATTCAGTCTCAAATTCCTTGAAGATTAACTGGATTGACAAACACCTGACGAAGGCGGGAAGGTACAAAAGCCGAAACGTTGTTATAATAACAATAAAGATTCAGACTATAGTTCGAATGTAAATAATAAATTAAAATAGTAAAATCTGTTAAGTTATTGGTTAACTTCGAATTATATCTAAATAACACGTTTAAGTATTCAAATTTTTAATATAACATTAGCATACTACCCATCAAAAATTGCAAAACTGTTTACGACAATAACGGCATCACTGTCTAGAATCGGAGCATCTGCAGATTATCAACGTGTCGTTCTCCGTATTGACATCCAATTGCCATAACTGTTCTTCTTGAACTGTCTTCTCGTTCTCAGACGAGACGCAACAAAAGATAATGAATAAAAGTGAAAAAAAGAGCTTAACCTGGTCCTTAGGTTTCTAATTTTGAAGCAGTACCTTCCCACTATAAGGATAGAATTGGGATATTCGGACGTATTCTTGACATTAGTCGCAGAAACATCAATTTCTGTCATTGTCTACACATTAAACTAATCATTATAACTCTCTCGGGGAGCCAGAATAATATTAAATCAGAATGTATTTTAGGGGAAAAACTTGCACGCAATTTATTTAAAAAAAATTTTTTTTAAATTAAGAGACAAGTTATGCTTTGCATATTTTTAATATTTTTTCCTTCATGTCAATGGATTAGTTTTCGTATCCAGGTACTGAAAATCTCGAGAAACTGTCGACAATTTATGTTAAGGTTCCGAGTTTTCAGACATTATCAGGAAAGGATAGAAATTAGTTAAACATCAAAGTGTCTTCCTCTATTTCCCTCTCTTGTATATCTCTCTTGTCTCTCTCTCTCTCTCTCTCTATATATATATATATATATATATATATATATATATATATATTTAATAAAAAACAGACCACTTTTTTAATCCATGTAATAAATTATTTCACCACAACCCTTTTAAAGGGCTCTGGATCATCAGACTTTACTTCCAAAGGTTGAAATGAAAAATGATTTTTTCATTTTTCATTTGGAAGTAAAGTCTGATGATCCAGAGCCCTTTAAGAGGGCCGTGGTGAAATAATTTATTACATGGAAACATAAAGTGGTCTGTTTTTTATTCAAACATATCTGCTCTGAATTTACATTGAGCTCTCCGGATATCATCCTCCTTGGGTCTACCCATACGGATTACCTAGTTTTGCATAAACTATATATATATATATATACAGAGAGAGAGAGAGATAGATAGATAGAGTAAACAGTTTATCGTTTTTCCTGGTCATTTTCCAGCAACAATGATTACATCGTCTTTTAGGTCACAAATGCCTCGGTAGATAACATACTAGAGTAAACCCTCAAAAGTTTTTTGACATTGATTGTACTCTGTTTCAGGATTCGGAGAATTCGGATCCACAGTTAGTTTGTCTCGAAATGGAATGAATAGTACCAACTCTAAGTAGAAGCTCAGGAATTCTTATTTGACTCATTGACTGCTTTAGTGATGAAAAACGTTTATTTTATTGTGATGGATAGTTACAAGTAAGAGGAGAGATGGACGATGGAATGTGCTTATTTTATTACAACTGTAATTACACTAATTAATTTCTTATTACTATAGACGCTATATATTTGAGCAGGGAGCCTTTAATTTAAACAGTTTGACTGATATCCGAAATGTCTACTCAAAGACGTGCGCTCACTAAAAATGACGCTTATATCAATAAGAAATAATATGGCGTTAAAAACTAAATCCTTTAATCGCTTAAAGAATTGATGTTTGGCAACAGAATGAACAGCTCAAGTTGACAAATGTCGAAATCAATCAAGAGCGAAGAGTTTTAATAGAAGACAGAAAATGTGGCGCCGAAATCTGAAGACTCATTGGGATAGCGAAAGATGACTTCCCAAAGCTAAACAACATATTAAGCAACAGGAAAATTTCGTTATAAACAAAGAAATGAGTGTCTGAATGCGCGGCTGTGGCTGTCAATGCCGGACAATTTCCTCACGGATGAAGAGGAGACTGTGGTGAAAGAAATAATCAGCTACCTCGAAAAAGAGTTCGTGTTTTGTGTCCGATCTGCCGAAGAAAAATTACCAAAAAGTAGTTAGCAAAAAATCTACTTTAAGGACAAGAATCTATGCTAATGTTCTTCCCTCCCCTGAAGGGCGTGACAAATCAGAAAATTCTTTCGGTGAACAAAAGCCGTTGTTTTTCACTTATGTGAACAGATTTGAGTTTCTGAGCTTGGTGGACGAACACGGGTTTTGCTGGTGGGAAGTGAAGGTTTGATTTGTGACCACATTTTGTCGCTTCTACGTTGCCTGTTGGATTGTTACGACGGACTATCGTTTGAACTGTGATTTGGCTACAATTGTTGCGGTCGAGAGACAGAAGAAACTTATTGCAGGCGTTTATTGCTACTATAAGTTTATAGTTTTCTTTTCTTCTTTTTCATTTCTTTACAATTTTAGAGACTCGTAAATGTGGATCTATAGAAGGATAACTGAGGATGACATGGACGGAACATTTGAATTTTAAAGAAAATGGGAACGCAAACGGTGCATATTGAGAAGCAGTAAGAAACATGAAACGAAAAAAAAAGTGAGGACAAAAGACAGTTTCGATCAGAGGATAACGGAGAGCTTCGATGCCCACCTGCAATCGGGAGACAAGGGACAGTTTCGATGCGCACCCACAATTGGAGGACAAGGGATAGTTTCGATGCCCACCCTCAATCGGGGGACAAGGGACAGTTTCGATGCCCACACACAATTGGAGGACAAGGGATAGTTTCGATGTCCACCTGCAATCGGAGGACAAGGGATAGATTCGATGCCCACCCACAATCGGAGGACGAGGGATAGATTCGATGCCCACCCACAATCGGAGGACGAGGATAGATTCGATGCCCACCCACAATCGGAGGACGAGGGATAGATTCGATGCCCACCCACAATCGGAGGACGAGGATAGATTCGATGCCCACCCACAATCGGAGGACGAGGGATAGTTTCGATGTCCACCTGCAATCGGAGGACAAGGGATAGATTCGATGCCCACCCACAATCGGAGGACGAGGGATAGATTCGATGCCCACCCACAATCGGAGGACGAGGATAGATTCGATGCCCACCCACAATCGGAGGACGAGGATAGTTTCGATGTCCACCTGCAATCGGATGACAAGGATAGATTCGATGCCCACCCACAATCGGAGGACGAGGGATAGATTCGATGCCCACCCACAATCGGAGGACGAGGATAGATTCGATGCCCACCCACAATCGGAGGACGAGGGATAGATTCGATGCCCACCCACAATCGGAGGACGAGGGATAGTTTCGATGTCCACCTGCAATCGGAGGACAAGGGATAGATTCGATGCCCACCCACAATCGGAGGACGAGGGATAGTTTCGATGTCCACCTGCAATCGGAGGACAAGGGATAGATTCGATGCCCACCCACAATCGGAGGACGAGGGATAGATTCGATGCCCACCTGCAATCGGAGGACGAGGGATAGTTTCGATGTCCACCTGCAATCGGAGGACAAGGGATAGATTCGATGCCCACCCACAGTCGGAGGACGAGGGATAGATTCGATGCCCACCCACAATCGGAGGACGAGGGATAGTTTCGATGTCCACCTGTAATCGGAGGACAAGGGATAGATTCGATGCCCACCCACAATCGGAGGACGAGGGATAGTTTCGATGTCCACCTGCAATCGGAGGACAAGGATAGATTCGATGCCCACCCACAATCGGAGGACGAGGGATAGATTCAATCGGAGGACGAGGATAGTTTCGATGCCCACCTGCAATCGGAGGACAAGGGATAGTTTCGATGTCCACCCACAATCGGAGGACAAGGGATAGATTCGATTCCCATGCCAATCGGACGAATCGGAGGACGAGGGATAGATTCGATGCCCACACACAATCGGAGGACGAGGGATAGTTCGATGTCCACCCACAATCGGAGGACGAGGGATAGATTCGATGCCCACCCACAATCGGAGGACGAGGATAGATTCGATGCCCACCCACAATCGGAGGACAGGGATAGTTTCGATGTCCACCTGCAATCGGAGGACAAGGGATAGATTCGATGCCCACCCACAATCGGAGGACGAGGGATAGATTCGATGCCCACCCACAATCGGAGGACGAGGGATAGTTTCGATGCCCACCTGCAATCGGAGGACAAGGGATAGATGTCCACCTGCCGGAGGACAAGGGATAGATTCGATGCCCACCCACAATCGGAGGACGAGGATAGATTCGATGCCCACCCACAATCGGAGGACGAGGGATAGATTCGATGCCCACCCACAATCGGAGGACGAGGGATAGATTCGATGCCCACCCACAATCGGAGGACGAGGATAGATTCGATGCCCACCCACAATCGGAGGACGATGGTTAGATTCGATGCCCACCTGCAATCGGAGGACAAGCGACAGTTTTGATGTCCACCCACAATCGGAGGACAAGGGACAGTTTCGAAGTCCACCCACAATCTCTCTGCTGTCACCAACGCGCATTTTCTTCTTTTCGTCACTGAGCACCTTGAGGACAAACTTTGCGCAAATTAAGCGCATTTCGAGATGAATAAATCTTTGTACAGTTGTCACCCCAACTCCAAATTGTTTACGGATTGTTTTCATAGACACATGTCGTTCTGTATCACGAAAATTCCTCATTTTTCTCCACCAGCTCTGATGTTCTGACATCCCTCTCCCGCTACATCTCTAATCGTCTCCTACCTTCTCTGTACCGTCCATGAACCTCCTGGGACAGCGAAAAACAAATGTTAGGCTCATACAATTTGATCCATAAATAGTCTGAAGTATTTACTAAATTTCTGTAGCGTTTTGGCCCAGTTTGACACAAAACTTCATTGCATATCGAGCTTCTAAATTGTCCTTATACCCCGATTGCATCTGTAAACTGATCATCAGTGACAAGTAGTGTTTAGTAAGCCGTGTTCAAAGAGAGCTGTTACAGCCGTCGCCTTGAATTTAGAATAGCAAAAGTTAGCAGCTCAATTTATTAGATGCATAGAAATTACATTCTAAAATTACAATAATCTAGGATAGTTATAAATGCCTCTCCTAGAAAATTCACGAAACTTCTGGAGTGTACCTCGTATGTATCTTGACCTTCTCTCTTGCGGCCTCAGCCGAGATTGAACTCACCAATCCTTTGATTGGTGTAGTTCATAATCTTGTCAAATAGCTGAATTCCTGATGCTCCGTTAGGGCTATCAAGGTTGTTTTTATCGTGACACCAACACTAAATGGATTGCCAACCAAAGCTCAGAGAGACTCCATTCACCCTCCTCTAAGAGCAGGTTTGAATTCAGAGTTTTCCTTCTCCTAGACCAGTTGCCATCCAAGGCTATAGAACCCAGTCTGTCCTGCTATTTACCCATAGCTGGAGGGAGAAGAAAGAGGATTCACACCTTTCCCAAGGTTGTTAGCACGTAAGTGAATGCAATGGATTCGACTGGAATTCGAACTCGGCTCTCCGATTCCTCAATCCAAGCCGCTATCCATTACTCCACCGTGCCTCCTTATCTTGATCTTAATCGTAGCGAAATCATTGACCAAGTGGACGCATGTGATCTATACACTGTCCTATTTAGTAATAATGATTTAGTCTGACGCTACATTACAAGTAGCGATTTTCCAAGCGTAGCTTAGATGTGGCACAAGTACGAAAGTATGGTTCACCCAGTGAGGGTCGAACTCACTACTCATTCGTAATTGTGCTAGCGAGAGAAGCTTGCTAACCATTACACCGCCTCGGGGTGCCCTCGCTACATTACAAGTATGTCGTATTTAATAACGACTGAATTCACACACATATTCTGTAATAAAAAACTCGATTTGATTTTATATATTGGCCACGCAGCCTGATCTGATATATGAAGTGAGATATTCCATCGTTATTTCTACAAAAGGCATTAATTGTAACCTGTGAGACAATATTGGTCATATATTACTTCCTTATTTTTGTTGCATGTTAGATTTCAATCCTGAATTATAGATTAAGCTATAATCTAGAATTGAAATGAAAGCAATGATAGGTAACCTGAATCTGTTATAAAAATGCAGGACGTGGATTTAAAGCGAAATAACTGAGACATCCGGAAGAGGCATGGCATGTGGAACTAGAAAAATCTACCTCGGTGGGCGAAATAAAGGATTCGGTTCGAAATTCCAATCACCTGAAGAAAACCGGAGCGTACAACGGTTGAAAAGCTGTGAACATCGCAATGAAGATCAGGATAACAGTCCGAATAATTTAAATAATACAAGTAATCATAATACCTCATCTCAGAGATATAGAGACCGAAACGTTGTGAATATGGCAAGAAAGATGAGGATACAGTCCGAGTAATGTAAATAATGCAAGTAATTATAATACCTCATCTCAGAGATATAGATGTCAAAACGTTGTGAATATGGCAATGAAGATGAGGATAAAAGTCCGAGTAATGTAAATAATACACGTAATCATAATACCTCATCTCAGAGATATAGACAGATATCGTTCAGCAATATGTAAATTCCCAGTTGTATACAAGTGCTTTCTCAGACCAATGATTACTAACAGATTTGTGAATGGAACATGTAGGCCTTAGTGTGGACAGAATCACAAAGAACTGTAGCAGAAACCACATCACTTGAAGGTTTTCAACAGCAGTATCAACTAAAATGGATATAACACTGGACTTGAGATACGTATGTTCCCAACAAATGGTTTTAATAGAAAGATTTTATAAATACAAATCAACACTATCACTGGCTGCTAGGTTTTGTGATGTCAACGAACACTCGTTGCCACTTTTGTGATGACAATGAATACTCATTGTCATTTTCGTAATGCTCGTTGTAGTAGAGACTTTGTAATCGCAGATACAACTATAGTAATGCCATTGAACAATACTAGTGTCAGAGGCATTTGAATAACACTCGCACTAATAGTACTTGCTCGATAATACTCGAACAGTAACCACCGTATAGTGAAATAGTATAAACATTAGTGGTCCGTATAGCAATAAAAGATAGTGTAGAAATTGTGATCCGAATAGTAATAGAGGATAGACTAGAAATAACGATCCGAATAGTATAGAGGATAGACTAGAACTAGCGATCCGAATAGTATAGAGGATAGACTAGAAATAGCGATCCGAATAGTATAGAGGATAGACTAGAAATAGCGTTCCGAATAGTAATAGAGGATAGAATTGAAATAGCGATCCGAATAGTATAGAGGATAGACTAGAAATAGCGATCCGAATAGTAATAGAGGATAGAATAGAACTAGCGATCGTTGGACGTCGCACTACGTCCCATATATGATTTTCATCTATGGTCACGTGATACACTTAATTTAATAATGGGATCGCCTTTATTTACCCACTGGCGATATATATTCAAACTCAAATGTCGGCAGCGACACTTTATTCCGTTATTCCACTAGGTCAATGAATGCCGAATATTTCCATATAAGGAAACGGTTATTATTACCATTACCACTTACTCTTCATATAAAGAGCGATAGACAGATACAATAAAAATAAACCAGAAACTGTCGTAGAAAACAAAATCGCAAAATATTTCAGAATTTTGGCACTCAGACCGACAACCCCATGCTAGCAAGAAATCCAAATGTAATAATCGTGAAGTGTAACATTGCATAGGTAAAATAGATAGGAATAGGTTAATATTAAGGGTGAGGAAAAAACAAATTCATCTAAAAAGACAGCCACACAGGTTGCCGCATTTCTGAAATAAATTATATTTTATAGGGTTAGTTGACGGTCGAAAGTCTAAAAAAAAACAAAAAAAAACAGTAAAAACATCAATGATATGTTGTTGCTTTTTCATTGGTCCGTGAATTGACGAATCAACAGTTAGCACGATTCCCTTGTAAAAATGTAGTTCCTCCCTCCAAAACTTCCTCAGTGAGCATTTTCGAGTTATATGAACACATGCTAGGATTGAGAAATTTCTCTCTTAATCAATGCTCCGTCTTTACCACTGACGTCGGCAAAATTTCCCTACTGGAAACAATAAAAGTAGCCAATATTCACGATATACGTTGTTTTATTTAATTCTACAATAATACTCCTGGTGAAAAGAGACTGATTTGATTTTCAATTTTGAGGCAGACAATGCGATTTTTTGTGCATTTAGCCGCAGAGACAAGCGTAATGACAAAAACGACTTGGTCCGCTACAATATAGCAACCATGGTCACCAAACACCTTTTCGAGTTACCGACTTAATCATATATGAAATTACAGAAACACCAGGACCTTGCCTGGGAGATGAGAAATATACGGAATACGTAAGTTAAGAGTCGTACACATTGTGTGAAACTGACGCAGATAATCTTTTTCAAACTGACAAAGTCTCTCCTTACAAGCAGTACCACCTTCACGAGAGAACTGTCTATTCTCTCTGATGTGGTGTTTTTTTTATGCCGAGCTGATCTCGCAAAAAAAAGAAAAAAAAATCCTGCATACGCCCAACCACTCTCGCCAATTCTCCTATCTTCGAGACAGTGTCTTTCTAGAATTAAGGTGTTAGGGGGGGGTCATGTTTCTTTTTCCTTTCCTTCGCTCGTTTATTCACGGTAGCCATCTACATGCCCGCTTTGCCACACGAAATAAGTTTGGTTTTGGCTTGGTTTTTATTTTACGGTATATCAACCTCAATGGGTTATTTAATGGCGACAAAATTTTTATTGCTGGTAATATGATTTCTTCAAATATCTATAGCTGGTCATATTTTTTTCAAAATATTTCTGGTATTAAAACCTTTTTTGACACAAGTTTGGGTGTTAACTATTTGCCCATACCTGGGACACTAACGGGTGCTACCACCTCGGGTCAGGTTGGACCTGGGAACACCAGCAATTAAGAGGTGGTTCCACTCTCCTCAAAACCTCCTGATCAGAGGCCCGGCTGTCGGACGTAGTTAATCGTCTTACCCAGGACGCGGACGTAGTTTATCGTCTTACCCAGGACGCGGACGTAGTTTATCGTCATACCCTGGACGCGGGCGTAGTTTATCGTCATACCCTGGACGCGGATGTAGTTTATCGTCATACACAGGACGACACGAAGTAAGTCATCTTCTTTTGTACAATTATTATCATCATCATTTCTGAACCGTATCCCTTCAGGAGGTAGAAACACGTGGTTATCCACCACTCGCTACCCTTTAAAAACGTTAAACAATATCTGAATCATTAGCATCTCTATCTTTCCGCATTACTCCATCCACTCATGCAAAATGTTTCACTCTAGTCCTCCTACACTCAATTCATACTGTAGGCGTTTCTCAACCAGTTTCTTTTTGCTTATCTATCTAAACCTGTTTCTTTATGCTTATCTATCTATCTATCTATCTATATATATATATATATATATATATATATATATATATATATATATATATGTATCTATCTCAATTTTTCTTTATGCTTGTCTATCTCAACCTGTTTCTTTACACTTATCAATCTCAGCTTGTTTCTTTATGCTTATCTATCTATCTCAACCTGTTTCTTTGTATTTTCTATCTACCTCAACATGTTTTTTTTTATGTTTATATATATCAACCTGTTACTTTACGCTTATCTATCTCAATCTGTTTCTTTATGTTTATCTATCTATCTATCTATCTATCTATCTATCTATCTATCTCAATCTCAACCTGTTTCTTTATGTTTATCTATCTATCTATCTATCTATCTATCTATCTATCTATCTCAACCTGTTTCTTTATGTTTATCTATCTATCTATCTATCTATCTATCTATCTATCTATCTATCTATCTTTATCTATTTATTTATCTTTATCTATCTATCTATCTATCTATCTCAACCTGTTTCTTTATGTTTATCTATCTATCTATCTATCTATCTATCTATCTATCTATCTATCTATCTATCTCAACCTGTTTCTTTATGTTTATCTATCTATCTATCTATCTCAACCTGTTTCTTTATGCTTATCTATCTATCTATCTATCTATCTATCTATCTATCTCAACCTGTTTCTTTATGCTTATGTATCTCAACCAGTTTCTTTATGCTTTTCTCTCTCTCTATCTATCTATCTATCTATCTATCTATCCTATCTATCTATGACTCTTCTTATCTATTCCTATCTATCTAGAAGTTTATTCCTATCTCATTTTGTTGACATCTATCTATCTATCTATCTATCTATCTATCTATATATCTATCTTAGTCTGTTCATATCTATCTATCTATCTATCTATCTATCTATCTATCTATCTATCTATCTATCTATCTCAGCCTGTTCCTCTATGCCTATCTATCAATCTATCTAGATTTTTTATTTTATTGATATATTCCCATCCAGATCGCTGTTTTTTCCTCCATTTTTTTCCTTCCATCTTCCCTTATTTATTTCCCTTTTTCTTCTTCCTCTCGGCCTTTTCTTCGCGTTTTCCACATTCCTCCAGCTCTCTTGTAACTGCCTTTTTTCTTCCTCTACTCTCGCGCTTATTTTCCTCCATATTTAATTATTTCGTGATTTGTACAAATTCTTCCTTGACTCTATCAGTTCTTTCTCACTGTCTCCTTTCCCCCCTCTCTCAATAGCCTGTTTCCCCAATTTTCACTCTCTTTTTCGTTCGATTCTCTTTCTTTCTTTTTTTTTCTTTTTTCGTCTCTTACTTCTCGCGTTTTTCAATGTACTTATCCATAATGATTTCTTTACTGGCAAAACGACGCTTCTTAAAAACACAATCAAATTGAGGTTATTCATTTTTCTTCTTCTTTCTGTCAATTACTTATTCTGAGCGTCATCTAACCAATAAATGGTTTGCTTTAGGCTGTCTCTAAAGTCAACAGGCCCATATTTTTCTTTGACTTTTATTAAAGACGTTTAAGTTTCTAAAACGTTATGTTTAAGTGTAATTTTCCTGTTGCTTTAATGCGAACGAAAAGAAAGCGACACTTTCGCTGTTATAAAAACATTGCATATTAAAAATGATTGAAAATTGTAAGATTTGAATAGTTTAATCTATAATCGCATGGAAAAACTATTTTAACCCGTAATGTCCACGGAATTCGGCAAATTAGAACCACTTATATTTTATATTTCCTATACCGACAATCTTGAGCCAAATTCTGGACAACTTTTCACCTCAGTGAAAACAATCAAGCGAGAAAAATAAAACCTCACACACATATGTCATTTGTAAAGAAAGGAATGGAGACTGCATTAATGTAGGAAGGAATGGAGACTGCATTAATGTAGGAAGGAAAGGAGATTGCGTTAATGTAGAAAGGAAAGGAGATTGCATTAATGTAGAAATAAATGGAGCTTTCATTAATGTAGAAAGGAAAGGAGATTGCATTAATGTAGAAATGAATGGCGATTTCATTAATGTAGAAAGGAAAGGAAATTGCATTAATGTAGAAAGGAAAGGAGACTGCATTAAGGTCGAAAGGAAAGGAGGTTGCATTAATGTAGAAATGAATGGAGACTGCATTAATGTAGAAAGAAAGGAAATTTCATTAATGTAGAAATGAATCGAGACTGCATTAATGTAGAAATGAATCGAGACTGCATTAATGTAGAAATCAATGGAGACTGCATTTATGTTGAATTGAAAGGAGATTGCATTAATGTAGAAATGAATGGAGACTGCATTAATGTAGAAAGAAAAGGAGATTGGATTAATGTAGAAAGGAAAGGTGTTTGCATTAATGTAGAAATGAATGGAGACTGCATTAATGTAGAAAGGAAAGGAGATTTCATTAATGTAGAAAGGAAAGGATGAAATGTAGAAATGAATGGAGACTTCATTAACGTAGAAATGAATGGAGACTGCATTAATGTAGAAAGGAAAGGAGATTTCATTAATGTAGAAAGGAAAGGAGATTGCATTAATGTAGAAATGAATGGAGACTTCATTAACGTAGAAATGAATGGAGACTGCATTAATGTAGAAAAGAAAGGAAATTTCATTAATGTAGAAAGGAAATTGATTAATGTAGAAATGAATGGAGACTTCATTAACGTAGAAATGAATGGAGACTGCATTAATGTAGAAAAGAAAGGAAATTTCATTAATGTAGAAATGAATCGAGACTGCATTAATGTAGAAATCAATGGAGACTGCATTTATGTTGAATTGAAAGGAAATTTCATTAATGTAGAAATGAATGGAGACTGCATTAATGTAGATAGGAAATGTGATTGCATTAATATAGAAATGATGTAGAGAGAGTGGCCGTTCAAAACGAAAATCACAGAATCTGTTCAGGAATATTGGGTCAAGTCGAATATTCGCTGTGGCGGAGACGATCTGCAACCTGATCGAATCTAAAAACCGTTTTCATTTGGAAGGATGTCCCTCCGAAACCGGTCAGAATTCTCGAATATTCAGGCCTGTAGACAAAAATAAATAAATATTCTGTTTAATAAGTAAACGGAACGTCTACTCAAATACGAGTGTCCATTAAAAACAACGTTTAAGTAATTAAAAGCATACATATATCTATGTACATGTGTATGTATTTGTATATGCTTGTGTAGCAACGGATTCCACAATGTTGTTCAATAATAATAAAAAAAAACGATATAATTATATATATATATATATATATATATATATATATATATATATATATATATATATAATGTTATATATATATGAATGTTATATGTTCATATTTGTCTATATATATCCCTGTTCATATGTATCTATCCGTCTATTTTAACCTGTTTTTTTTTTTTTTTTTTACTGAGTAAGGGTTTTTCAGTAATTCTTACGACAAATGATGTCAACATGGTTAAACGGCTTATCTGAAAACCTGGAAAAATAGAAACTCAATTAGTTTCGTGGCTTTTTGAATATTAGACATTTTGTGGGATGGACAATTAACATGCAACACGATTTGGACAATTTTGCTGTTACACTCCCTATATTCTCGAAAATTGTCAGCATGCATTTGTTTTTATATGAGCGATATATGGCGAGTTTCGGCTTCTTCATCATGATGATAAGAACCGTTTCCTTTGCAAGTCAGCATGATTTCTCACTTTCAGCAACTTTGTAAATACCTCCAGTTAGTCCGTTCTAGGTCTTTTCTTTCCTATAATAAATTCTCGAAAGTGATGCAGACCTTCCAAGCTCTTCGAAGTTTTTTTTTTTTTGGCGCCATTACACTTTTGCACCCACCTTCTTGTAATATTTCGCTGGGATGTAATTTTTACCTTTTTACGAGACTCTGCCCTTCGGCATAGCCTCATCCGGCTTTCTTTCTGCCCAAGACAGAGAGTTCGACAACAGCTAAGTGTTGAGTAACAGATCCCAGCTGTGCTATAGAAGAAAGTTCAGCAGATGAATTACCATGAAAGTATTTATAGAAAAGGCAAAGAGAAGGTATGTTACGGAGGTGGGAAAGTGACTGAAGCCGAGAAGCCAGGCTAAGACCAATAACATTGCAGATTCTTCTTCGAATTTTATCAAGAATCTCTTAAATATATAACAGGAGCACCAGACCAAATGTGGCAGCAATATTCAAAGCAAGAACAAATGGTAGTCTTGTTAATATATAAAATAGATACTGTCGAGAAAAATAGTCTAGCTCGACATATTGAAGCAATTTTCCTAGCTGCAGACTCAGTGATTGACTCAATATATTCATTCCACTTCATGTCAGCAGAGAACATTAGATTGAGAAGGCGCAATGAGTCACTCTCCTGAAGGTTAACACCAGCCATGCTGATTGAAGTTAAAAAGTATTCTCTTAGACAATTAAAAGAGAGCAGTTTCGTTTTGGAGGCGTTAAGGTTAACAAGCCACTCCTTGCCCCAATTAACAACAGTTGTAGCTCATATTTTAGATTAGTTTGAACTTATCAAACCAATTAGACACGCTATTGAAATAGGAGTAAATAGTTATGTCATCTGCTTATTTAAACAAACTGCATATCATTTCATAAATAAATGAAAGTCTATAGAAATATATATTTGATTAAAACGATATGGTGCATAAATTATTTATATAGCTGTATAAATTATTTATTGGGTTCCTTGATATTCCGTAATCCTCATTAGCCATTGAAACATTAATTCTGTTAACTTTTATACTGCTTTAACTTTAACATTATTAGCAGTAGTTTACTTCTTTACTTAAATACTGTTTACCATTTCTAAATAAACCTTTTAATAAGATACACAAGTTAGTCAAGTTATGAGACATTCCATTAACTTGATGTATTTAAAATGTTTTTGTGAAGGTGGCAATAACTTAGCCGAGTATTGTCTTGAATACACACACACACACACACACACACATATATATATATATATATATATATATATATATATATATATATATATATAGCTTAAATTTTCTTTTTGTGATATGTATCACTTAAAAACAAAGTCGAAGAACTTACAATAAATCTCTTCTTTTATCTTGACAATATCATGAATTTTAAATAATATATTTGCGAAAATATAAAATTTTACTGCCTAAATTATAGGATTTTTGTTTATTTTTTAGCATAAAGCTTATTTTACAAATGTTACTTTAAGTCTGATAGAAATTGCACAAGACTGTGCATAAGTTTAACACTTTCTCTATTGTATTGTTTAACATTGTTGCCTGGATGTGCTGGCCCGTTGGTTTTTTTTTTGTTTTTTAAATAAGTGATAATGTGAAACTACTGTAATAAGGAACAGAACTAAAGAACGAACTTGAAGGATTTAATAAACAAGAGAATAAGAATACAATGAATACAAGTAAAAGAGGATATATAAAATAAATAAAGAAATATTTATCTATTTTTGATAATAATAATAATAATAATAATAATAATAATAATAATAATAATAAAAATGAATATAAAAATCGTCACGATAGAGTGGGGGCAATTTACACTTTTTTTTTTTGAACATCGGCCAGCGCCGGTTAAAATAGAAGATGTCACCATTCTAAGGTTAAGAGGAAAAATCATTTCATTGTCAAAAACCATAAAAATCGCCCAGCGGATTGAGGATTTGAAAAAACTATCAAAAATACAAAGACCTGAAATTGAAATAGAAAAAATGTGGAAATTGAAAACAACGTTGAAAATGGAACAAAACAACACATTGAAAGAATCCCTGAAACCCCAGCTTAAGAGACATACAATTAAGTACAGCTAAGGAGAACTTTGTCTAATGTAACTGACCTCATCGGAGATTTTATGAAATATATATATATATATATATATATATATATATATATTATTTGTTTTTTTTTAAATAAAGCGTTAAGAGGTATTTGATAAAAATCGTGTGTGTGTGTGTTTTTAATATATATATATATATATATATATATATATATATATGTGTGTGTGTGTGTGTGTGTAAGCAAATATATGGATATAGATCCGACAGTATGAAACATTAAAACATTAGAACTTATAAAAAAATTTAACACAAAAAGTCCATCGTCTTTTGTGTTAAATTTTATAAGTTCTAATGTTAATTATGTTTAAATGAAAATGTCCATGAAGATGGTCTTAAATAAACCGAAACGTCCGACGTCGACTTTATATTAACATTAATACTACATAATTGCATATTCAGATTTTTGTTTGTTTTTTCTGTATTTTTCTTTCATATATATATATATATATATATATATATATATATATATATGTTCCATTAAAAACGACAGACAAGGTACTATGATTAAGCTTTTTATTTAATTTTTCTTGTGTTCGAATAAGTGTTTTCTTTTTTGGACACAGTGTGTGTAGAAACTCTCCAAATGCAAATGTTCTAAAATTCCGAGCGCTTTCGGTTATACTTTTAGCCATTATCAAGGTTGATTTTATTTATTCAGTTAGCTTGATTTTAGTTAAGCTTTAATTTCCTTTCTTTTTTTCAAAAAATCCTAGATGTATGCTTATCAGTTTTTTTTAATATTTGTCACGTGATACAATATCAAAAAATCTTTTTGCGGTGTAGGATAATCGTTGGTGACAAGGAGGTAGTCTCATCACCACAGGAGGACCTCCAAGAGTGCACTGTCAGATAAGAGAGCTTATATACCTAGTTACCACTAGTGCCATGGATGTACCAGAACAATCCGATCCAGTCGTTTTTGGGCAGCGGTGGATAGTCTGTCACAAAGTTGGAATCCTTGGGACCAAAATTGTTTTTCAGTTAGGTGAATATATAGTACACACGGCCCCCAAAACAAGGGCCGAATATTGTCGCTCTGCAAGTCGTCACAATATTTTCATGTTTTATCGATGAAAGCACCAGTTAGAAAATTGTAATAAATTCCCTTTTTGCGAAAAGTTACTTTCGATTTAAAAAAAATAAATCTATATGATATGATAATTGACGTCACTGCAACGAAAGATTGTCATTCATTTCATAGGCACTTGCTAAATTTCCGTGGTTACCGCTGAGTTTTAAAAAAAAATAGTCACGTATTTTGGTTTTATAGCATACTCACAAATTGAAAACAGTCATGAAATGTTTGTTATTGAACCAGCTCGATTTTTTTATGTGGAGTCGTTGTGCGCACGTAATTCTCATTGATTTGGAGGAGAAGGTGAGTGTTTTTTTTGTGTCCGAGGTGAAAAGGAAATCAAGGACAGTTGGATTGAGATGGACGACTTCTCTCGGCAAAGTCGAAGGAGAATGTTTGTCAGAGTCCAAGTGTCTTGGTTACAACGTCTCTGTTGGAGTTGAGTGTGCGTCGCTCGAAGATAGGGTGACAGATTTCGAAGTAAGACGAGAACAGAGTGAAACGTGACACATTATAAAAGAAAGAAAAGGAAGAAGAAAAATGGAAAGAGGCAAAAAGAAAAAAGAAAGAATGTCTCGTATTTGATAATAAAGAGAATGAAAAGGAAAGAAAAAGAAAGAGAGATTTAAATAAAAACATTTAAATAAAATTGAAGAAGGAAGAAATCAAGACGAAAAATTATTTGCAAAAAAAAAAAAAAAATGGATAGGAAGGAGGAAGAAAATACATTTTTAATAATAAAGAGAATGCAAGGAAAGTTGGCTCCCTGAGCCGCGCCAGGAAGTTTTTCTCCCCGGAGTCGATCCTCCAGATCTACAAATCAACAATTCGCCCTTGCATGGAGTATTGCTGCCACATATGGTCTAGTACCCCTTCTGTTTGCCTCGGGGTTCTTGATAGGCTCCAGAGGCGGATATGCAATGTGGTTGGCCCTGCTCTGGCGTCTCGTCTACAGTCACTTTCTCACAGACGCGCCGTCGCCTCCCCCTGTCTGTTCTACAAATACTTTCATGGCAATTGCTCCGAGGAGCTGCATTCGCTGGTTCCCAGACGTCATGAGTTCAAGCGCCATACGAGGCTGGCATCCCGCTCTCACCCCTTCACTGTCGAAACTCCTAAATGTAGCCGTCTCTACTAATCCAATAGCTTCATGTCTCGCACCTCTCGCCTGTGGAACTCCCTTCCCTATTCCAGTTTCCCTGAGAGCTATAATCTCCAGCTATTCAAGTGTAATGTCAATCGACATCTCCAGTTGCCTTGATCTATCCACTACCCATCATCCTTTCTTCTATCAATCCTATTGACCTTGCTCTAAATTTTCTGTAACCCCTTGCGCCCTAGTGGCTTCCCGTCTTGCTTGGGGTGAAATGCTTAATAAAAAAAAAAAATGAAAAAAAAGGTAAAAATGAAAAAATAGCATTGAAGAAAAAAAAGAAGTAAGTGGAGGCAAAAAGAAAAATAAATAATTTATTTTTAATAAGAAAGAAGACAGAAAGAAAGAAAGAAAGAAAAAGAAGAAAAAAAGAATGCAAAAGAAGAAAGAAAAATGAAAGAAAATAAAAAGAAAGAAAATAAAATTACAGAATATAGAAATCAAAATGAAATGAATCACAAAGGAAAAATAATGTATTTTAATAAGAAAGAAATAAGAAAACGGAAAGAAAGAAAGAAAGAAAGAACAAATGCATTAAAAAGATAATGAAAGAAAATGAAAAGAAAGAAAATGAAAAGAAAGAAAAAATCGACATAAAAAGGGTCACAATAGAAAAATAAACCAATACTGCGTTTTAATAAGAAAGAAAGAAAGAAAGGAAGGAAGGAAGGAGACATATCTAATAATAATGTGAATAAAAAGAAAATAAGAAAAAGTAACCAGAAAGAAAATTTATTTTAATAAGAATGAAAAGAAAATTGAAAAAAAGAAGAAAGCGACTAAAAGAAACCAAGAAGAAAAGGGAGTCAAAGAAGAAAAAAATTAACCACCTCCTCACATTTATTAAGAAAGAGATTTTGAAGAAAGCAAAGAAGGAAAAACAAGAATGTCATCCAATAAAAAGAAAAGAAACTGGTATGAAAAAGAAACTGATGAGAAAAAGAAAAAGGAACTGACGAGAAAGATAAACTGATAAGAGAAGAAAAACTGATAAGAAAAAGAAAAACTGATAAGAAAAGAAAAAGAAAAAAATGATGGGAAAAACCGATAAGAAAAAAAAACAGAAAAAACTGATGAGAAAAAGAAACTGATAAGAAATGAAAAACTGATAAGAAACAGGAAAAACTGATAAGAAAAAAAAACTGATACGAAAAAGAAAAAAGAAAAACTGATAAGAAAAAAGTAACTGATACAAAAAGAAATAGAAACTTATAAGAAACAGAATAGGAAACTGATAAGAAATAGAAAAAGAAAAACTGATAAGAAAAAGACTCTGGTGAGAAAAAGAAACTGATAAGAAAAAAATAAGAAAAAATGCTGAGAAAAAAAGAAATTGATACAAAAATGAAAACGAAACTGATAAGTAAAAGAAAAAGAAAAACTGATAAAAAAGAAAAAGAAAACTGATGAGAAAAAGAAAAACTGACAATGAAATAAACCGATACAAAAAAGAAAAAGAAACTGATAAGAAAAAGAAAAACTGATAAGAAGAAAAGATGAAAACTGATAAGAAAATAAACCGATACAAAAAAGAAAAAGAAACTGATAAGAAAAAGAAAAACTGATAAGAGAAACAAAAAAACTGATAAAAATAAACTGACAAAAATAAACTGATAAAAAGAAAAAATGATAAGGGAAAGAAAAAAGAAAATGATAAGAAAAAGAAAAACTGATAAGAAAAAGAAGTTCTCGACAAGAAGAAGGAAATCTAGCGCATATGAAGAAGCAAGAAGGAGAAAAATAAGAAAGCAAATACAGTAAGAGGAGGAGAAAAGCGAAAAAACTGAAGAAGAAAAAGAAGATAAAAAAAGCAAAGAATACTAAACAGAAGGAAGTTCAACATGATCTTCTATAATGGTAATGGTTAACGTAATCGTTAATGTAATGGTTAACGTACTACTTTGGTTGGTTATTTGTAACGAGTTTTATCCACACTACCTGATCTATTCTTTAGTTTTCTGCCAAACCTAAGTTTAGTGCATCGCAACAAAACACGCAAAGAAATAAAAGAAACAAAAGTGAAAAACGCCACGAAAACGAACGGGAAAAGAGGGGGGAAAATATTGAAAAACGTACTTAAGCAACTTGAAAAGTATAAATAAATCAATGTAGAGCTTTAATATTTTGCCATAACTCTTCTCTAATTTTCATAAAAAAGGAAAAAAAGTGATATCGTCAAAATTTCCCAGTCAGAAGGAAACTTATCGGTTGCAGCTAATCGACAAATTCTGCAACTATTACAACAATTGCAGTAACTCTTAGACACGTTTTTGTACAGGGGCATCGTTTTAAATGTTTTTAGTTTTTTCTTGTTCTCTTTTATTGGAGGAAGTTAAACGACAGCAGCTATCAGAATTGTGTTTTTACGATGGACTACAATAGACAGGCTTTCTGCGAAGACAAACAAAGAAAACAACAGCGAAAGAAAGAAAAAAAAGAGAGAAAATCAGCAAAACCGACAAGTGCTTAAAGGAAGAATGAAATATGTACGGATTTAAAAGTATGTAAGCAGGCTTAGACTAGTAAGAGTCGATTGTGGCAGTTAGTTCGTTAAAAATAGACAAACAGATAAAAGTACGTTATATATTTAAAATGGATCAACACGTAGCCAAATGAAAACGCGGATCTACTCACCAACCTCTCTCTCTCTCTCACATAGACAGGGTGTGGCGAGTGTCTTACTGCTTTATCGCTACTACCATGGAAAGTGCTCGGACGAACTACATTTCTTGCTTCTGTCAGGTCTTACCTTTACAGCTAGGGCCCGCCATGCCAGTCACGAATAAACAATGTCCCATCGGGGAGGCACTGTGCCTTTAGTGACTATTGGGCGGTAAACTAACACATGACTTCAAGTGGAACTCCGACATACTATCCATAGCTAAAGATGCAGGAAAAATGGTCGGCTCCATGGACCGCTTCAGTAGGTACTTGACACCCCATGCTATCATATAGCTTTGCATGAGTTCTATGAGACCGGAAATGGAGTGCGGTTGGTAGCTGACTAGTCCTCACTTTTCAGAGTTCAAAAGCGTCTCCGAGACCTTGTGGTTGATGAATTATTTCCCTCCCTTCAATATATATATATATATATATATATATATATATATATATCCCTCTTTCTCTCTCCTTCACGGCTAGAATCGCCCTGTCACGTTCATTGTAGCAAATCATCTAAATTCCCCTCTGCATTCCATAGATCAGGAGTATGTTTCCCCGATCAATTACAATCTTAACCTGTTCAAGTCTAGAGTTAACCGTTACCTTCCTCTCGTATCCATATAAACTACCCCTTAACGTCACCATCTACCTCGAGTTGTCCCGGGATCTTGTACAGGGAGGACCTTAATGTAAAAAAAAATATGACTGATATAATACGAACAACAAACTTCTTGCCGCATTTTCTTATGTATAATGCGATCAGTTTTGAACGAAAATTAAAGGCAAAAAAAGTGGGGGTGCATTATACACAAGTACATATTTTCAGGAGGCACGGTGGAGTAATGGATAGCAGAATCGGGGAGCCGAGTTCGAATTCCAGTCGAATCCATTACATTGACTTATGGAAAGATATGAATCCTCTTCTTCTCCCCACCCCCAACTATGGGTAAATAACAGGACAGACCGGGTTCTATAGCCTTTGATGGCATGAAATTGCAACCTACTACGGAAAGAAATCTGCTTCGTCAGTCATGTATCGAAAGATACATGATCGCCTACGCGTGTATCACACATGGCACATCACTGACTGACGTTTTCTAAGCTAAGTAACATTTTCTGAAAATGTTACTTAGCTTTAAAAAAAACTTCTTATTTGAAACATGAAGATTGCAAATACATTCAGTTATCACAAAAGATAATACATCATAGTAGGCAGGTGGTGATAACAATTGTTTACAAAAGATATTTGAGATGTCGGCAATATTTGTTCTTCTCTTCACATTTTTTTTTTATTTTCATAGATTACATCAAATATAATAAAAGACTGACGTTTTCATAGATGATGAACTTTAGATATGAATAGATTTAAATATATATGACATTTAAATATATATATATTCATTGAGAGAGAGAGAGATGAACATACTTAGATAGATTTAGATATTCGGATAGATAGATAGATATAGATAGATAGATAGATAGATAGATAGATAGAGAACAGACTAAGGTGAGATTGAATAAATAGATAGATGTCAACAAAATGAATGAGATAGATAGAAGATAAAGATAGATAGATAGGTAGGAATATATATGAATTCTTGAGATTTAATAGAAGAGCCTTAGATAGATAGATAGATAGAAACAGATAAGATAGATAGATAGATAGATAGATAGATAAACTTCTAGATAGGTAGGAATAATGAAAAGAATTAGATAGATAGATAGATAGATAGATAGATAGATAATGATAGATAGATAGATAGATAGATAGATAGATAGATATCAATCAATAGACTAAGATAGATAGATAGATGTCGACAAAATGAGATAGGAATAGACTTAGATAGAAGAGCCTTAGATAGATAATGAACATATTGAAATAGATAGATAGATAGATAGATAGATTGATAGATAGATAGATAGATCTGAATATATAAACTGTGTCTGATGTATATCATGAAACCTGGATAAAAAGATTTCGCAACGATTATTCTCATTCGGCGATTCTCTTATTCTGTTATATTCTGTTCCGATAAACGCCAAATAGGAACAAACGCTATTATTTTTCAGCTTGCCTAAGCTCCTTAAGTTTCGGGTTCGTTTTCCGTTATCAAATGCGAATACAGCAACATTGTCTCCTAAATGATAATCTTTGTCGCGTATAATGTCACCACATGAAGATACGAGTTTTCCCTGCAGACGAGAGAACGGATCGTCAAGAAATTCTTCTTAAGTGCATCATGTCAGCTTTTGCCGTTCCCAGCGCCTGGCCGCTCTGGTGTACTCGGGTTTCATTTGTTTTGAATCTCGTTTTTAGTTAGGCTTTCATTTGTATTTTTTTTTTTTTTACGTATTTGTAACAGGACAAAATGTCAGAAAATGTGTGATGCAGTTGAGAAGAATAATCGTTGTCGAGAAGTAGGAAGTCGCATCATCACAGGTAGACCTCCAAGACCGCCAGACAAAGGGGACTAAATTTGTAATACTTGTCAGTAATGAAGAGATGCTATATAAATCCTGTTTCCAAATTGGGTAAATGCAAATAGAACTCAAAGATACATGCATATATATATATATATATATATATATATATATATATATATATATATATATATATATATATATATATATATATATATATATATATATATATATATATATATATATTACTGCTATAAATGCATGACTCTTCGGTAAATCGAATCGAGTTGTCTCAGTCACTGTGTAATTATTGAAAAATAAATGCGCTCAAATTCACCACCATCCCAGCTGTGCGCCAACGGCTAAGTGGTAGAATCCCTGACTGATGCCAATTCAGTTGGATTTCGATCCTAGCTAGGAGGCAACCGGACCTCTAGACACACTGCGAAACAGTCTCTCTGTAGATGACTATATAAATATTTGTGTATATTTATAGTCCGAATAATGTAAATAATGTACATAATACCTCATCTCAGAAATATAGACAGATACTGAAATGCCGAAACGTTGTAATAAATATGGCGACAAAGATGAGGACAATAGTCTGAATAATGTAAATAATGTACATAATACCTCATCTCAGAAACATAAACAGATAATGACTCGAGTTTGCATGTTAATGTGTTAGTTTTTTAGAAACTTGCGGTGTTGGCCAAATTCTACGTACAGCCAATTCTACGTTCAATTTCCTTAGCTCCTCCTGTTAATTAAAACGGATCCATACAATGTGTTAATTGAAGTGATTAGTATTATTACTTTATATTATCTATATCTTGCCAAAAAGCAGGTTATGGGTCAATAAGTCATTGTTAATTATGTTGAAGATTATTACGAGGCCGGGAGATTTATTTGGTAACAAAGAAAAGAGTACTGAACTGCTACGTGATATATGTCCTCCTTTACGGCAGCGAATGTTGGACGGTCTCCTAAAAGATGAAGAAGAGACTCGAGACAACGGAGGTATGGTTCTACAGAAGGATGCTAAGGATATCATGGACCGAGCGTGTGAGCAACGATGGGGTTTTGGAGAGGATGCAAACAAAGTGGAAGCTTTTATTTAACAACAGAAAGAGGCAGCTGAAGTTTCTGGGACACGTAATGAGAAAGGGGGTCTTGGAGAATCTGATACACACAGGTTTGGATAGAGGGAAAGAAGGAAAAGAGAAAGCATTGCATGACATACCTAGTGGGCTTGAGAGGCTGGATGACAGAACGTGGTTACGGGAAGTAGCAAGGACAAAACTTATTGAGAAATATTAGCGATAGCGGAAAGTGGAGAGCCATGATTGGCTACGTCTTGAAGAGACACGACACATAAAAAGAAAAGATATAATGGAATAAAAACAAACTTTATTTTCTAAATAATAAAGTTATTAAACAAAAACGGATATTATTTATGATTCAGTTTTTATAATGTGAGTTTATTTTGGCTCAGATATTTTTAAACGCTATTGTCTTGAACTGAGGAGATATTAAATGGTTTAAAAAAAAAACAAGCCGTCATTATTTGATAATTTTATGCATAGCGTATGGCTGTGCAAAATGGCAACAGATTGAAATCCAGATGATCCAATGCTCAAATCCAAAGTTATATCAGTGAAGCCTGTTAAAAAGCTGTCATAAAAAAAAGGTTAAAAAACCGAAAACAAATCCAGAACGATGGCTCAAAACAGACGCCAATAGATAAAACATTTTTCTTCT